GCTTTAGCCTGTGACCTTCTCGGTCACATTCAGCTTTGATTTCATAGTAAGTGTACATCTTCTGGAGAAGAAACTAGGTCTTCAGAATCCAAAGTCCTGGGTTGGTGTTCCAGCTCGGTTTACTAATAAACGACTCATAAGAAACTCAACTTATTTCTCTGCAAAACTATTTATTTATATGTGGAGTAACAATGGCATTTATTCTCAAACAGCAACTTGAAGGTAAGATAGTTCAATGTACTTTGTAAACTGCTAAACCTTGTATGAACATTAGAAATTAACTACAGTGTCATAATATTCATTTCTACACAATCCCTTAACCACGTACAATTCGTATTTCAAACCGCAACCATAAGTTCAAATCCATGCATGTGCTCCATGAAGTTATACATGTAATTGGTACGCTTTATTATGTGTAAATTATTTCTTAAAAATAGAAGATGCTGAGCCGGGCATGGTGGCTCATGCCTGTAATCCCAGCACTTGGGAGGCTGAGGTGGGAAGATAATTGCGAGTTCGAGACCAGCCTGGGCTACAAAGTGAACTCAAGGCCAGCCTGAACTGCATAGCGAGACTCAGTCTCAAAAAAGACAAAAAAAAAAAAAAAAAAAAAAAGAAAGAAAGAAAGAAAGAAAGAAAAAAAAGAAGAAAATGTTTAAAGTTTGCAAATAGTTTCACAAGACAGATCCTGTACCCTGACCACTCTCTTGCGTACTCATGGTTGTGGTTTTTTCTGCAGGTAACTGCTTAGGCTGAGGTTGTTTTGGTTACTGTACTATTTCAGTTACTAGACATCCTGGACCAGGAGGATCTGGTCATGCCCTTGACCTTGAATAATGCTCCCTGGCTCACAGACGAAGGGTATAGTTCCAGGATGAATGTCATTACTGTTTTCTTGATCTTAGTTGGCCCTTCTGGGTTTGTAATCATATACCACCAACTGCCACCACTGGACCGTTCCTGAAAAAAATTAATCAAGCATGGTGAGACTCATGTGTTCCTGATCACAACTACATTTTGGTTAGCTGGTAAACTCTCAGTATTAAAAAACTCAGACAAAGGGATAAGGAAACTTGGAGAGAACCTTAGTCTAACATCCTAATTTTACAGAGAAAGAAACTGAGGCTCACTAGTTTGACTTGTCAAAAATAATCCAGCAAAACTGTGAAGCAACAGAAGCCCTTGATTGCTACATCACCATTAAACCAAGTGAACCTTTTTTTCCTGTACCGAGGATCAAACTCAACCTTATGCTTGCCAAGCAGGCAATTACGCCACTGAGCTAAATCCAAAAAGCCCTTGACTTCCAGTCCTGTTCTGGTGTGCCTGCACCCACATCTAGAACTTGGAGTGTTAATTCTTTTTACCTGAACACACCAGACATTAATCATGACGCCACAGAAAGTTTCCAGGATTTCCAGTCACAATGACTAAATTGAAATGTTACGACAATTGCCCTATTTTTCAAGTAATTTCCCAACATAAAAACCATGCCAATTATTCAGCATTTAACTCATCTAACTGAAGCATTAGAATAATGATTAGTTAAATTTTAGCTACATCCACAGAAAAGGAAGGAGAGGTATTTTTCTGTTTTAGGACTGTACAATAGGGCACATCATGGAATTAGGATTCCAGTCGTGGCCATTCTCCTAAACTAGCTGTGTGGTTTTAAGAACTCCCTCTGAACTTCAGATTCTTCATAAGAAGCAGCAGGTTTAGAACAAGGATAAACTTGGGTTTCAAGGAAGGATATCAAGAGATCAATGAGCCCCAAAAAATTATTGGCAAAATTTAATGGATGTGTCTCTTCTCCTAAAAAGTGGTTTTCATTAGCTTCTCAGAGAAGTCTGAGACTCAAAATTTTAGGAACCATTGATTTTGACAATCCTTGACTCTGCCTTTAAAAATGACTGTCTAGCTCATTATCGTAAAGTATGTTCATGAAATATATTCATGTGTGCACTGCTTGGCTGAGCACAAGACCAAATAAGATGAGACAAGACATGAGCTTCCTGGGACTGTATCATTATTACTGCCATCATCACCAATGTGGAAAGAAGGAGGAAGGACATGAGATCCTACCACGACCTGTCACTGTCCCGCAGGCCAGTGGACTATGCATCAGCCCTTCCCCAAGTTCATTTTTGGGGAAACCAAGTGCTTTGCTCCTTAACTATACACTCTCAGGATGAATTGTTTATACTTAGGATTAAAAGCAGTGGGGACTATTAAAGACTTCAAAAAGAAAAAAAGAAAGATCATGAAATTATAGAAACTCTGAATTCAAGATTGGAGGCAGTCAGACCAAGAACACAGACAGCTTGCCACATTCCCATGATAGGCTTTCTGCCCTCTGCCAGCTCTACTACAGGGTAGCAGTGCGAAGGATGGAGGTGACAGGACAAGCCGACTCCCGTGTGGCAGCTACTGTGAAGTCTAGGAGAGAAGTCAAGGCAGAATAATGAGGACCTCAGCCGCAGGGGAGGAGAGAGGGTGGTGGCCGGAGCAGGGGCAGGGCTCCCCCCATTCTCTCTACTCCCCAGGGCTCAGAGCACTATTTGTTCATTCATATCAGAGGCAGGACACTTGGCCCCAGTCATTGGCAATCCCAGAAAGCAAGGAGTCCCCTGGCCTGTCCTACTCAAAACCATGAACTCTCTTGGCTCTCCTGACTCTCCTGCTATCTTGTGCATTCTCAAGAAAAAAGAGAAGCCCACAATCCAGCCAGCTGTGATCACAGGAAGCTTTCAAGTCCACTAGATGATTTTAGGCAACTCTGGATTTTGCTAAAGCGTGCCCAAGTACACTATGACTCAAAACCACTTTGCAAACCGTGCTAATCCAGCCAGGAATACTGCCTCTCTCATTTACTCCCATCAGCTCCTCTGATGCCTCTTTCTTACTTGGACAGTTTGATCTACTTAGAGCTGGAATGCCATGAGTCTGGGTATGTCTGACAAAAGCCTAGATGTGACAAAAGCTTAATAGTTTGCATGACTATGAAAATCTTGTGACACAGAATTCTAAGCCAGCAGTCCTCATTTCTCTTCTACCTGGACTTTACTTTGTAAAACTTTTATAGCAGCCCCAGGAAAGACATCAGGAAAAGCAACTTCTATGTTAAAGGCAGAGAATCATCTCAACGAACTATTTTTCTTAACAGAAAAAGTTACACATAGTAGACGCTCAGTAAAGAAGGGCCAGTGATGGAAGACATCTTTTGACACAAGTTTTGGTCGATCCTTCTTTCTCATGGACGAAGTGGACGATGATTTCATCAGTGTTCACAATCCAGGCCACCAGCTGATTTCAACCAACTGTGGGGGCCCAAGTCACTTTCCACTGTAAACCAGACCCAACCTACATTTGAATGCATGTACCACCGTGCCTGGCTCCCAATTTCTTCATCTGTGGAATGAGGATACTAATCATAGCCAACAAGGTTGGTGTGAAGAATGAAACAGATTAGCACACACAAAATGTTCAGTACAGCTAGGACTTAAGGACTATCCACTGTCTTTAGTAAGGCAATTCTGAAGCTTGGTTCTAGCGACCATCTAGTAATTGGTAGCTTAGTGGCGTGGGCCAATTAAGTGACAAAGATGCCACCCAGCTATGTAAACACATTTCTCCGAGCTTAGAAAACAGCCCCTCAGCCTCCACCGCTCCATCCTCCTTGAACAACAGTTTAGTTCAGCAGATCTCTTCCTCTCCTCCAGCTTGGGTGGGTACCAGCCTGAGGGGGACCCACACAGGTTGACCAGTTGGTTGGCAAGGTCTGAGCGAACAGGGAGGTCTGGCTACCCACTTCAGGATGCTGTGCTGGTGCTGCTCGCCTGGCTTCGCTGCCTCTAAGATCTCCGCCCTCCTTGACTCCTAGTGTTGGAGGCTGGCAGGGCTAGCAAGGCCTTCACAACCATCTCTTTTTTGGTGTTAGAGACAAGGAAATGAAGCTGTGCAATGAATAATTTGTTCCAGTTAGTCAGCTCATCAGCTTGAACCCAGGGCTCCGGCTCCTGTGGGCGAGTGTCCACCGCAGTGCTCACAGTGCAGCCTGCCTGCTGTTGGGATTTTGGCAACTCTGGATCCCTTTGGGACCTGCAGTGTGCCCCTCAGATGCCCCTCCCCTCTGGCCTCCTGCTGAGCTCGTACCTGCTGGAACCTGCCCTGCAAATGCCCAATCTCAGCCTGTGTCTTTAGAACCCTTGAGGCCTTAGGGGTCCGGCCTGGGTGGCACCGGGAAGGGACCTTCTGGATGGTTCTTCTCTGCCCCAGACCCCCTTCGGAGGCAGGGGTGCCTGCCCGTCTCCCTCTCTCCCTGGCTCCATTCCTTCTAAGTCTTCTCCTCACCCCCTTGCTCAGGTTCCCCTCCGTCCTGCTCTTCTGCTTCCCATGCCTGCTCTCCTGTTCTCTTTCTGTCCCTGTCCTTCTCTTGCCTTCTTCCCTCCCTTCTTTCCCTCCTTCCTTCCAGCCTCGCTTTCTTTCAGGGCTGCGCCTTCTCCGGCTCTGCTCGCTCTGCCCCTTCCCCCTCTCTCCCTTCCTCTCCCACCCCGTCTCATCCCTTTCCCTTCCTCTTACCCTTCAACACATCTGTTTCTAATCTCGGCGCTCCAAGGCGCCTGTTTGAAACAAAAAAGCCCTCCACACCCTCTGAAACCTGGCACAAAAATTTCTGGATGAACCTTCCCTCCCCCAGTTCTCCAGTTTCCCTACAGACGCCCGAAACCAAATATTGCCTTAAAAAAGCACCTTCCACATCAAACGGTGCGCGGCCAAACTCAACCAGGAAACGCCCCCAACCTCCGACCAGCTCCAGGGCCCAGATGTGCGAAGCCCGCTGTGTGCGGAGGCCCGCTGGGCGGTCCCCGGCCGCCAGATGCGGGGAGGCAGGGACCGAGCAGTGGGCTCCCGCAGAGGCTGCGGGGATCGCCGGGGACCACCGCGCCAGGCGCGTCCGCCCGGGACCCACCAGCTCCCCGCCCTCCCCGGGCACTCACCTAGCGAGAGGACGAGGAGGAGGGACATCCCGATCCCCGGGCGCGGGCGCGTCCCCGCTCAGCCGCTGCCTGGCTGCGGGGCGTCCGGGCGCAGCCGACGGCCCTCTGGAGAGCTGGGCGCGGCGCCTCGGGGAGCGCGCGGGGCTCCGGCCATGTGCGGGCGCGGGCACCGGCCTCGCCCCCTCCCCGCGCCCGGGTCCCCGCGCCCTGCGCTCCCGGGCACCGAGGGGTCCCTAGCGCGCGCCCCACCGGCTTGCGCCGGAGCCGGAGCCGGAGCCACGACCCGAGTCCGGGAGGAAAAGGCGAGGCGGAGAGGCACTGCCGCTTCACGGAGCACTTTTCCCTGTTTGGAAAGAAAACCGAGTGGAGAAAGGAGAGGGGAAAAAAACTGAGCTGGAACCACATGGTTGCCTCCTACCGCAGCCCCTCCTCCCGGCGCCCTCCGCCCCCTCCCCCGCCTGGGGGTGAGCGTGCAGGCCGCGGGCTGCGGGCAGAGGCGGGAGGCGGCCGGCTGGGCTCTGCCCCGCGCGGGCGGGAGGTCTGGGGCCCGGGGCGCTCCGGGGGCGCTGGCGTGGCACTGACCCGGAGCGGGAAATCCGCAGCCTTCGGGCAGAGCCGATGCCTGGAGGAGGCCTCGCCGGGTCTCCGTTCGCACTTTGCTCGGCTCTCTCCCCGCTCGATCACACACTCCCTCCTTTCTTATTCACGTCGGTCCTGCCTCCCCTTGCTGGCCTCCTCGGCCTCTCCCTGCCCGCCCGGTCCTGGCGGGTCGGTGGGAGGCCGCCGGGCTGGCTGCATGGACGGTGAGGTGTGGAAAGGGGCGCTGGGGAGGGTCTCGGCCGCTGCTTTTCTGACTGCCCACCTCGTGGGGCACCTCTGGGCCACACTTTGCCTGGCTTTGCTCGGCCTTTCACGTGTGCCATCTCGCCAGACTTTACAATGGCCGACCCCAGACTGGGCAGAGCCAAAGTAGCCCTCGCCCCGGAGAAATCTGAAGTGGAGCCGCTATGGCAGTGAGCCACACGGCACGCACTGCACGTGGCGCCGCGCAAATTATACAGCGCTTCCACTCAGAAAGCCGCTGGAGTCGCCTGGGGCCCGGCAGCCCGGAGGGTCCCCAAGATGGCCTTTGGGGATCTGCCCTTGAGGACCCAGCTGCAGCTCCAAAAGGGCTGTGAGGGCCGGGCTCTGCCCCCACACTACCCTGTGTCCCTGGACGTCCCTGCAGGGCGGGCTGAGGGTGCATGCGGGGCTGCTGCAGGCTAGCCCAGCCTGGAGTGTGTGCTGGCCCTGAGCCCTGGGGCAGGTCTGCTGCCGTCCTAGTGGGCTCTAACAGGCTGCGCCTTTCCCGGTGGTAACACAAACCGGTGCTATTTCATAGACAGGGCACAGAGGTTAGGGAACTGCTGAATGGACAGTAGTATGGACTAGCAGTATGGACAAGCACGACCTTTGCAGTGGTAGAGCCACAGCCCCTCGCCCCTCGCTGGGCATTCCCACCTTATGAAACTGCTTCTTAGGCACCCACCCTGGCTTTCTTAGGCACTGGGGACACAGAGTGGCTGGAACTTGATAATCAATTGACATTTTAAAAATTGCAATAGGTAGGTCATGGGCACTAACTGTGGGCCAGGGTACTTGTTTATATTTTTGATTCTTAGGACAGTATCAAGGGTAGGCTTTATCAATTCTGCTTTCAAGGTAAGAGAAATGCAACCTAGGATTAAATATCTTGTGCAGATTACAAAATGCTAAAAACCCCTCTATTCCAAAAATAATGTTATAATTTAAATTTTAAAAGTGTTGTATTTTATGTCATTAAAAGGTTTGTCTGACTCTGAGGTGATTGTTTTACACTTTATTCATTTCATCTAATAGGGAAAATAGTTACATTCACAACTATAATTCATATGTGACTATGTTGAAAAATGTGAATATAGCTGGGCGTGGTGGCTCCTGCTTGTAATCCCAGCACTCCACTTGGGAGGCTGAGGCTGGAGGACAGTTGCAAGTTCGAGACCACCCTGGGCTACAAAGTGAGCTCAAGGCCAGCCTGAACTGCATAGTGAGACCCTGTCTCAAAATGACAAAAAAAAAAAAAAAAAAGAAGGAAAGAAAAATGTGAATATAAAGACAAAAAAGTGGAAGAGAAATTACATGGATTAGATAAATTTTGTTGTTAAAACTACATGTAGTAATTTTTGTCGTTTCTGCTTTGTATTTTTTAAAGTTTTGACACAATTTTGGGCTTACAAAAAGTTGTAAAACTGCATCAGAAATTCTTGATACCTTTAACCCAGATTTCCTCCTTCTCTTTCTTTCTGGGGGAGGTGTATTTGCACAGTTTTAAAGCCCCACCCACACCCCCGACATTGCTGCTTGAGGCTTGAGGGCTGGTGTGGACGTGAATTAGCCCAAGTTGAGCTGTTGTGATATCTTCAGCCCTGGGTCATCAGTCATCAGCTAGCCATTGCCCATCTGCACTGGCTTTTGCAAAGTTTAGGCGGGGAGCCTTAGGGAATCTGAAAAGTTACACAGCAGCCCTGACCCCTAATAGACCTCTAGGCCAGTGGGAGAGAAAACATCCACTTGTGAGACTGTTCGACAACAGCTCGAGAAAGCAGCTTAGTTAGGAAGACCTGGCAAGGATCCTGGGACAGTGACTGGAAGCAAAATTGTGAAGGGTTCTGAATGGGAAGCAAAGGATTGTCCAGCTTGTTCTTCAGGTTCTCAGCAAAAGGTGTTAATAAAAAAGAAGTGCCATAACGAGAACCTTAGAAAGTGTAAATTGGCAGCTTTTGCTCAGAGGTGACCACAAAGGGCTGGTCTGTTGTGAACTTTGCTTCCTTGTCCCATACATCCATCCTCCCACCCCTACCCTCTAATATGAACAGCTGACGCTGTATCAGTCATGCGTAAAGTGATAGACACATCTGCTGTTGCAAGACTCAGCCCTTATCCTCTCCGCTCTCTGGAGTGCCGGAGAATGCCTTCCTAAATCTGTAAACATTCTGAGCCAGCATTCAGAGATGATGTATTGAAGGGGAAGCCTGGAGCCAAGGAACTGGTTAGAGCCTGTTGCATTACATGGGTGGATAAGAGGAGGGGGGCAAAGCAAACAGAAGACTTTGGAAGAATTGTTCATGCCAGGCATGGTGGCACGCACCTGTAAACCCTGCACACACTCAGGAGGCTGAAGTAAGAGGATTGCTTCAAGTTCAAGGCCAGCCTGGGTGCCCAGTGAGTTCAAGATCAGCTGGAACTAAACAGCAAGACCCTGTCTAAGGAAGGAAGGAAGGAAGGAAGGAAGGAAGGAAGGAAGGAAGGAAGGAAGGAAGAAAGAAAGAGAAAGAAAAGAAAGAAGGGATTAGAAAGGGTTAGGAATCTAACAGTCACTATGAGTGGAAGAGAAGGGAAAGACACACAAGACACCAAAGACGAGTATTAATAGGAACCATTTCTTTACCTCCTGTTAGTGTCTTGGTTACTTTCTGTTCACCGAGCTATAATACCTGACACTCACAACTCTAAGGAGAAAAGCTTTATTTTGGCTCTCAAAGTTTGTAGACATTTCAGTTTGTAGATGGGTGGCTCCAAAGCAGGAGGGCATAGCAGAGGAGAAACAGCTCTAGGGCATAGGGGTTCCCGGCAGAGAGAAAGAGGTCAAGTGAGGAAGGGGGAGACAGAGCCAACCAGGTGAGAGGAGTGACCTCGTCCTTCCACGGTATGTCACCTCCCACCATCACATTGAGCTAGGGACTCGTCCGCTGATGAGGGTCATACCTCCGTGATGCTCTCACTTGGGAGCGCCATGAGACTTTGGTGGGCCATTTAGATATAAACGTACCAGTAAGACTCACGCTATCACACTACAATGAAAAGACAAAGGGTCAAAGAGTTATGTAAATTGCATCCTACCCATGGTTAGTAAATGATGAAGGCAGAGTCTAAAGAAAGATTTCAAACCTCTTTTACTCACTTCTTTTGATTGGATTGCTGACAAACCTAGGAAGTCAGGTAAATTAACTTTTCAGGGACAGAAAGATAAATTACTCAATTATTTTGATATACGGTAACTTGGAGGGAATGATAAACCATGATCCCATCCATCCACCCATCCACCCATCCATCTTTTTGGGTTTTTTTTTTCTTTCAATTCATAATTCAAAGTTAAATGTGTAGCTCCGCTGTAGGGCACTTTGTGAAATACTTACTACATATCGAGCCCTGGAAAATCAATGCTGACCGAAGAAAAGTCCTTGCCTTCTGCAAGCTTATGGTGAATGGAGGGAGACGACACAAATGAGCAGTTTACTGTGTGGGATGAGGAAGTGGGAGGGCTGCTGTGAGCGGGGCCAGTGCCTCGTACAGAGATGTCAGAGAGAACAGCCCAGAAGAAAAGATGTGTAAACCACAGCAAAGATAGAGCCCTCCGCCGTTCTCCCATCTCACATGACACCAGGGAGCACTGGACCATGTGTTTTAATCCCTCTGGGATCTGTATCCTCCTATAATCCCATCATCACAGATGAAGATACCACTCATGGAACATTTGGGAACAGGCAACTCTGGCTGATGCAAAGAATTTGGGGGCAGGCGGCAGAAAGTTTGGGGTCTAAGCATTTATCCCAAAGTCCTTTACTTCACCGAGCGTTCCTTCCCTCTCTGCTTACCAGTGCTACGAGGAAGAAATAAATTTACAAGGAGGGCGCCACTGTCTAACACATACACGACTTGGTAAATATTTGTTCCAACTAAAACTAAGGGGAGTTCCTAGAATTCCATTCCGTGCGGTAAAAGGAGCCAATTTCAGTCTCATTTCCTTTTCTATTAAAACAAGGTTATCTTTATATATTCTTTCCTGTCCTACAAGGATACTTTTCAATTTGGCTATTCAGTGTGTTATTCTTTTTGTGGCTGGACAGTAAAAGGCTCCAGCTGGCTTTTGGGGTCAGGCCTGGACAACTTTATGTTGGTGCTTCCTGGGGACTCTGTGTGCTAGTTGAGGCTAAAGTGTCATTCCCCTCATCCTGGTAGTGGGGACAGCTGTTCCCTTCCCAAAGGGTCAGGGGAGAGAACAAGGTGAGAGGGATAGGACCTGTTCATGTGAACACAGCTGTGACCTACACGGTCAGCTGAGGACGCAGGAGTATTTTGAGGATGGTGTTTCATTTAGGATATTTGTTGGTGAAAAGATCTCAGTCTCCACCTGGCTTCTTGCACGCAGGATGCCCTACAGGAGACCATATAAGGTGCTCAGCCCTTGAAAGGTGTGGGCCCTTGGTCACTTCCCACTGAACTAATGCAACAGGGCGCGTCAAGCCTCTGGAATACGTCGAGCTGGTTCTGCAAAGCTTCTCTGTCTCAGCCCAGAGGAAACCTCTCCTTTCTTTAAAGGGAAGCGGATATCTAATGACAGCTTAAGAAACATACAACAAAAGGAATAGTAAAGAGTGGTCCCGTCTCCTTTCTTTGAATCGTTCCCCATCTCAGCTGAGATCAAAAGCAGGTTTTTCTTTGATTTATGCTACTCAGAATTACCCTCAAGACAAGCTGTCACAAAGGAGCCCAATGACTGAGGAACATGGTCCACCACTAAGTTTCAGATTATTGGGTTTAAAGTCCTATCAGAGACATCGACCTGTCTTCCTCATTTCACTGAAAAGGACATCAGCTCAGAGAGAGACAAGACTCATGCTGGCATCCCACAGCTGGCTGATGATGCGAAAGCTCCGAGAGCCCTCATCCTGGTGCCGTGCCCTCTCCCACAGACCTGCTGTGATTCCTGAGTGACTTCTGCCCAAAGAGCAGCCACGAGGTGGGTAGCTAGGTTCATGCCTGGCTTCAGTCTGCATCCAATCAGTGACCTATGTGATTTTCCTGGGATTCTGGCACCAGGTTTCCCTTTGTTGCCTGATGGAGGCAGAAATCACCACATCAGAAGACAGAAATAGTTACTCTTCCTACCTGGGCTGTGGCAACGAGCTGTTCCCAGTTGGCAGGAGCTCTCCTGGACTTTTCCTGCGTTCAAGCCTAAAAACATGTGTTCCAGCTCATAAGTCCACCTTCATTCCACTGCTGGCAGCTGCTGTCTGCACTGCCCAGCTGGCTGGTCGCGTAGAGTTCCTTCTGCTCCGACTTCCTATTTCACAGAGGCCCAGCCAGGGACGTGCTATCTCAGGATCACCCTTCAGTCAGACCAGGGACAAGCTTGCAACCCAGCCTCCCAGGACCAAACTCGTTCTCTTTCCAGAGTGAGGACAGCTATCACACAGAACGGTCCTGTCTTTGTCTAAAAGGTTAGGATAGAAGAATAGAAAACTTCAGGGTGTCTGACAGGTGTGATAAGACCCAGGAAAGAGCTGGGATTGTTTTTTCTAGTAATGGATGAGGCTCGGTTGAAGCCATAAACCAAAATGAGGACAACACAGAGCATGTCAAGCTTGAATGTGTCGCTGGTGTCCTGCCTGTGGGGAACTCATGTAGTTTGTGGCTGAGATGCTACAGGCTGTCAGCAGCTGCATGCAGCTGCTCAATGACAAGACTGATGTCTGTGGGGGCCCGGCTCAGAAGACGGGAGGGGAGGAGGAATATGCCTCACCTCCCAACCCACTTCACACAACCCAGAGAAACATGTCACATAAATTCCAGTCATTTTCATGTAGCCCCTTGCATCTTACCTAATGATACTCTTCCCAGGAGGTGGGGGGAGGTAGAGACAACTGTAACCTGAGCCAAGGCTGCAGTCACGGCCCCAAAGCCACAGTGTTTGGGGGTGAGCACTTTGTGGGGAGCAGAGTGGCTGGCTAGCTGGTAGGAGGCTGGCTCTGTTCAGAGATGGATCCCTGGGGCCTGACCCCTCTCTGACTCCCCTTCTCAGACTCCCCCATACATTCTCTTCTTCCCATCTACCACGCAGCTCTGCCTAAGAGCCAGCTGGCTGTGGACTGAAACCTCTACAGACTGTGAGCAAAGGTAAACCTCTGCTCCTTTAACTTATGAGTGTCAGGTACGGTGCCCGGGTGACGAGGAAAATGACGAAAACATGGGTTCAAGTCAGGAGGTCAGGATGGAGCTTCCGAGCACCATCACCTGATTCAACTTGAACCAATGATGAACTTCTCTGAGTCTCAGTTATTACCCAGAAAAAAATAAAGATGCTAGCTAGTTTCTTGTAAACTCCAGAATTCTTTATGAATGTGAGATACCATGATGAGAAGTGTCAGTTGGAGTAACTGGCAAAACCTCCCTGGAGTTCATCGTTCTTTTCTGGACTTCCTTTGGGTGCAGTTGCGGTAGAGTATCAATCAGTTCACGGTATGGAGGAGACAGGAGAACGCACAGAGGAAAGAGGACCTGGGCCCAGGACTCGGGGCAGGCTTCTCTCCTGATGTCCCGGAGGCTGCAGCTAGTGCAGAAAGAGACTGGCTAGACATTGGTCGTGGGCTCACCGGCCCTGTCCCCAGCATCCATTCTCGATCACGTACACCAAAGAGGCCAAAGTGACACAGTTCCAGGCAATGAGTCACACACAAGAGACATCTGCTGGGAGCTTTCGGTGAGTATTTGCTTTACACTTTGTATAAACCAGAACCGGATTTTGCCTCTTAAGGGGCATCCAGTTGGGGGAGGGATATCCTATTCCCTTAAGTGACCAGAAACCTAAGATTTTAAATACGGCCTTTGCTCTAAAGAGGCACCGGTGTGGTGTTATGGTGTTTAAAAGAAGAAACTGGGCCAAGGGTTTAGTTCAGTGGCACAAGCGCCTGCCTGGCAAGTGCAAGGTCATGAGTTCGATCCCCAGTACCAAAAAATAAATAAACAAAATAAAATAAAAGAAGAAACTGTTTCTTCCTGCTCAGGGTCAGAGACCGTTTCCTGGGAGAAGGGACATTTGATGCGAATAAGACTTTATCTCCAGGCACGGGGACTCAGCTGCAGTTCCCAGCCTGTCTCAGCAGCCCTGAACCTCTACACTATCCCAAACCATGACAGGAATCTAAATGCTCTTGCCATGTGATGCATGTATAACTCTGGAGATTGCATCTCGTGAGGTTTTTTCAAGATCCAATCTAGTGTCTCTATGAAGTGGGCAGTGGGCAGATAAAGAATAAATAAGGGCACAGACATGAAGTGACTTCTGAGACTCCAGAGCTGCTTGGGAAGCGCACTGCCAACCTCCCTGGGCACATCATCCTTCCCGCCAATCTCCAACTCCACCTTCGCCCATGTAGACTCCCTGCGTCTCCTGTATATGCATGCGCATGTGTGCTCTCGTCACAGGAGGGGGCCATGCATCATGAATTCATGTCCATCACGAAGACACATGAAATTCCCCCAAGTAGAATCTGTACTTTGCATTTCTTAGGGTTAGGGTTAGGGTTAGGGTTAGGAACAAGTCAGGAGCTAGCTCACGTCATTCAGGAGTTTGGCAGCCACTTCAGAGCTTCTCGAGGTTTCTGGCTGTGTTAAGGGCTGGCACGTTGATTGAAAACTAACCTGGTTTCATTAGGGCCACTCTCGAATCCCTCCAATTAAATCAACCTGGGCAACTGTGTACTTAAAAGTCATTCTTCTATGTCCCCAGTCGGATGGCGAACAGTATAAAAACATACACAGAAAATATAACAGATTTTGGTGAAAGAGACCCCCATCTATTATAGGAATACAAAATGATGCAACCACATTAGAAAACGTTGTGGCAGTTTCTAAAAAATGAAAATGAAACTACTATTTGATCCAGTAGTTCTACTTCTGGGAACCTACTCAAAAGTATTGAAAACAGGGTCTTGAAAAAATATTGTCTATTAGTGTTCATGAAAACATTATTCAAAATAGCCAATGAGCAGAAGAAACTCAAGTGTCCACAACCAACAAATGGACAAACAAAATGTCCATGACAATCAGTGGGGTATTACTTAGCGTTATAAAGAAAAGAAATGCTGACACATGCTTCAACATGAACTTCAGAGACGTCGTCGCAAGTGACACAAGCTGGTTTACAAAAGGACAAATACTGTATCATCCCACTTATATGAAGCACATAGAGTAATCAAGTTATTAGAGACAGAAAGTACAATGGTGGCTTCCAGGGGCCAGGGATTTAGCTCAGCGGAGTAAGTGCTTGCTTGGCAAACTTGAGGTCATGAGTTCGATCACTGGCACCGAACAAAACAAAACAAAACAAAACAATGGTGGCTTCCAGAGACTGAGAGGAGGGGTTTGGGAGATAGTATTTAATGGGTACAGAGTTTCAGTGTGAGAAGATAAAAAAGTTGTGGAGATGGGTGCTGACAATGATTGCACAATTTGAATGCATTTAGTGCACTGAACAGCATACCTAAAACTGGCTAACTGGGGGCAGGGGTGTGGCTCAGTGGGGGGCCTAGAATCTGTGGGGCCTTGGGTTTGATCCTGAGCAAAACACACTCGTACAGACTCACATACTCACACACACACTCACACACACACATCACAAAATAACCCCAACTGACTGAGATGTTAAATTTTGCAATAAAAATGATTTTGCAATAAAATCATCCATCTACAATGTCACCTTTTTAAAAAAAATCTTAAACTATCAGGACCAGTTGCAATCCATTTACATTTTTGGAGCTCACCAGGATAGAATTACAAAACCAAGACTGAGTCAGACAGCTCGGGTTGAGCCTCAGTTCTGCTCTTCATTAGCAGTTCTTGTTCTAGTTCTTAAAGGCATTCTGACTGAACTTAGTTGTCCTCGCTATTGGCCAAGTATTATAATGTCCACTTTGACCACTTCATTAAGCAGATGCAAAGATCCATTTAGATAATTTATGGGATTGTGCTTAGCAAACCACAGAACACTAAACAAACCCAAGAGATTGTTCAAGAAGATGACGAGGTTCTTGCTGAGACCTATTTTAATATTTTCCAACCTTTCTTGCCAAGACGTTCTCCTATCACACCTACATTCCAATTAGTGCAGTTTCATTTAGGCTGAAAGTAACCTTCCTGCCAGGATGTTCCCAGCTTCCAGGTTTCGAGCTGCTTCCATCTGGCAGGTATCAAAGGGGGCCAGCAGCGGCCCTCTGGAAACTGCATAGCCACAGATTTTGGGGCCAAGGACAGAATTCTTCTCCAGGTCTGGTTTGGTTTTCAAATTCCTGGCTGTCATAACAACCCCCAAAGCAAAGAGGCACTGTTCAGTGTCGTCTGTGACTGCAGCCTGCGCCTGGAATGCGCTCAGGTTGGCCAGGGAGGAAGAGTGTTCACTGGTAACCACACCATGCTTCAACCAGGATTCAAGAGGCAGGAGCTGCCAGGCTCACCGCCTCCAGTGGCACAGCTCCCTGCTTTCGGGATCATTCAGCTCCTCAGCTGCCCTGTCTCCCATTGTCTCTGCCAGATCACCAACAGGGAGGGAGTTTCCACCAGAGGCCACTGGGAGATGAGTTAATTCTGCAGTGGAAGCAAAAGCATGCTGCCATGCGCAGATGTGCGAAGATGGCTTGAGGAATAAGTGGATGACAGCGTTGCCATGGCAACCTCAAGCATCCTAGCTCAACCTCACTGACCTATTCGGAGGCTTGCAACAGCGGCCATCTATTCCTGAGCTGGGGGGGGGGGGATGAGCAAGAGCTAAAAAGTGTTAATTGGTTTCATGACTTAAAAAGAAATTTGTGCAATTGGAATGAGTGTCTCATTCACTAACAAATGTATCTACAAAGATGTGTCACGTCTTTTTCATTGATGAATACAAGATTTTTATATATCTGGAACCAATGTACAGATGAGTTTTTCCTCCTTGTTAGGATTCCTCATAGTGTATTTTTGGGTTGAATTTTAGAATTAAAATTATTTAAAAAGTAGGGCATATTTTCATGTTTAATATGATGTGGAGTCTCAAAAGGCTTTGAGCCTCACAGCAATCCTGCTTCCTGCTTGCTTACAGGTTTGTTTTCCCTTCCTTTCTCCTCAAACCTTCCCTTCCTCTTTTCCTTC